GGGAGGGGGGGAGGGGACTTGGAGGTGCCCTTCTTGATGGACCGCAATAGGAAAAGTTGGTGGTCTTCTTGCTTCCACAGTGTTCTGTCCAGATCAAAATGGTTGATCATGGGTGTTGGTGCGTCCTGAACGGAAAAATGGACGTAGACTTCGCAGATTCGCACATGTCTCCCCTAATTCCGTCAATCCCTGGCCTATAGACTACTTCTTTACTACTTGATGTTCTTCTTTTTGGCCTCTTCGAGTCCTCCTGTACTTTTTACTTGATGTTCTTCTTTTTGGCCTCTTCGAGTCCTCCTGTACTTTTGTAGGTGATTCTTGATAGGGTTCCAATTGACTGATCATGAGACTCGCGAATTCGAATTTCCTGAAAAAGATGTTTTCGGCATCAGGGCTCCCCTTTGACATCTTTCCATCAATTTTCTTATGAACTCTGCTCACCTTCTTCTACTGTACGATCGCTCTAGTTGGTTCGTTGTTCTCCATGTTTACAAATTCCAGCGACTCATTTTTACAGCGAATGTCGATTACCTTTTATGACAAGTAACCAGTAAACGACGACGATTGTTCACAAAGACGGGTTTTAACGTTGTGAAAGAAAATCAAACTGAACGTCCCTCATTGATTCGTCGGAACGGCGAAGAATTTTTCAACCGGGAGGGGAGGTTCAAAGTGAACCTTTTATGACAAGTAACCAGTAAACGACGACGATTGTTCACAAAGACGGGTTTTAACGTTGTGAAAGAAAATTAAACGTGAACATCCCTCATTGATTCGTCGTAATGGCGGAGAATTCTCAATCAGGAGGGAAAGGATCAAATTTCGAGCTTGCTCGCATTTTTAAAGGAATAAAGTCCCACCTTTCTTAATTCAGAAAGCCGTTATAAATCATCTATGGCTATTTCCAGGTCCGAACAGAAGAACCACTTGTGCTGACGACCCGTCTCGATAGGAATTCCAGTAAGTTTGCTCTTATTCAGATTAATAGTCGGATGTGAGTCTTGGAAAGAGTTATCACCAGTAATGCAGTTTATCAATCAAGTGATCTCTAACACCAAAAGGTTGGAGGAGCGAAGGAATCGAAAGAGTTCAGAGACTTACCCTAGTCGTCCTAGACGTATCGGAGGTTTTATCGAGGGTTTTTGACTGGGCATGCGCTGGCCCTGAGTACTCTTTCTCTGACTCCAAGAAACCATAGGGATTCAGTAAGTCATGACAAGTATGCCAAAGCTCCTATATAAATCAAAAAGCAGAAGACTGACCTTGAAAATGCAGTTCTACTGCTTATAAAGTTGTGAAGGTTCTGTCTTTTCGTATGAAAAATCAGGACTGGTAAATACGGCTGTCGTAGGCCACGGAATATCAACAACTATACTCCTTGCAATGTATGCTCTAGCTTCAGTAAGTTGCAATGCTCTAACTCAGAGGAGATGGAGCAATGTAGGAAGCAGTCCCGGGATAAGACATTAACTAAAAATGAGTGCATTAATATGGGCATACGTAAACTGCCTAATGAGCTTATGCGCTGGAACTACGGCAAGGTGTGGCTACTATGGGCGGATAAGTGGGTGGGATCATCCCTGGTAGGAGGAGCTTCATTCTCGAGCTTCTGCACATAGAGCAATGAAGCCACAACATTTTGAATCGGGTTTTGGGTGCAGTTTGTAATGGCCAACCAATAAAAGCCAAAGTAAAGAGAGAAGAATTCATTACAACGGCATTTCCACTACGTTTCTCTTTACTGTTTATCCAAATAGTTTTGTTAGGAAAATATTCAAAGTATCACGCTTTTCTCTCTTCGACCCTACTTTCAACATGGGTTTTTTCAGGTGTCATCCCAACAGCAAATGTCCCATCAAGTCATGAACATTCAGAACCATTGCCTGAGGAGGTAAAATATCTTGAGAATTGTGATATTGAGAAATTTTCTTAATGACTTTTCTGAAGAGCTTCTTAATGTCCCACAGAAAAAAGAAAAGTACCTGCCTAAGAAAAAAAAGTAAAAAAATAAATGCTTTCCTTTGAATTTTTGAAGAATTCCAGGAAATGAGGCAACTGCTAACCCATAAACAAGCCTAATTATTTTTCATTATAATACTAAAGCTTCTATGAATCACAGGAGTAGTATGGGTCCTGAAAGGTTGTGCCCTTATTGTGCCCCATCTGAGCGGTTTTCGTCCCGACGACAACCTAGAGCTATAAATGAGGAGCGGAGAATCATCTCCTGAATAAGTTTAGAGACCATTTGATGTGCACTTACATGAAAATTACCCGGAAATATCAAAAAGTTCTTCACACAAGCGGTCAAAGCTTCTACGTGCACATGCATCGCTACCTTTCGCTCCTATACAGGTCTGTGCTCTGCATTGCCTCCTTAGAAATAAGTATCATTACTACAGCACTAATAAAACTTGAATTCTAAGGAAAAACTCTAAAAATCAAGTCCTAAATAATCGCTTCTGTGTCTCCCTGTTAAATGAATGGTCTACTGCACTACGTGCTTTCAGGCAATGGCTGAAGACCCGTTCAGTATGGAGGAGAACAAGTCAACAGAGCAACCTTCAGAAATGCCTGTGGTAAGGACATGTCGCCATTAGTACCGTTTTGGTCTACGGTCTGATTCTAGAGTTTTCTGATTCATGCCAATCATCGAAATGCGTTTTTAGAGAAAACCGTGAAGTTAGATGTCGCTGAATGTGCTTTGAATAGTTTGCAGTGGAAACTCCGCCCATTTAGAGGCTAGCTCCGCCCTCTGGGCTGGTTTTTCCAATTTAGCGCCTGTAGTTCCCCCATTGAGCCTCACCTACTCCCATTGAACTAGAACACTTCTTATAAGCACAAAATAATGCGATAGGCCATAGTCCATGAACCTATATTTGGATATTTTAGACACGTTGAGGCTACTGAAGGCTATTTTAGGTTGTCCCAGTGGTGCCGGTCATTTCACCGCCTAATGACACCGTGATGCCACTGCTACAGGAGCTACAGAACGACTCATCGACGACTGTAGACGAAGTAGAGATGACGACAATTGGTCTACAGGTGCCTGTCGTCCAGACAGCGCTTGAAGGACGAGTACTGAAGGAGAAAGAAGAGGTAAAAACGGCAATGTTTTTTCAGTAGGGGAGCGTGCTCCGTTGAAGCCAGGCACCGCAAACGTAATTAGACGTCGTTGTACAACGTGTATCGTTACATTCGGTTTCCACTTCGGTAGTACTCCTCCGTGGCCTGCACAACTCCCTAAAAGGCGACTTCAATACCTTTGCTGCCTGAACCACATGCGGAGGTGGTTCAGGCAGCAACGATAATCCTTGAAGGCCTATATTTCATTTGGATTTTTCCCCATACTTTCTGTAGGTGGTGAATATGAGTGGCCAAAAAATGAATTTATTAATGATTCCCACTACGTTATATAAAAATTGTTTGGAGATAGAAAAACGAAATTTTCCTGAATGTCTTGGCCTGCCTGATCTGGAGTCACAAGAATCCTCTTCACGAAAGATTTTTAACCGGCTGAATTTGGAAAGTTGAGAAATTTAAACAATTCTAAGAACTCTTCTTGGAAGCGCTACATCTCTATCTTGCATTCCCTGTAGTGAGCTCCTCATTTTCTCTATGGCTCCTTGGTTAATACTGGGGAACCCGATCGAAAATCGAGTTTTATTTGATCCCCTATCCATTATCAGGCTTCGGTAGAGAAATGTGGCCGAGAAAGGACAAGAACGAGAATGTGGCTAGGACAGAAGGATTGCCATTTTCCGTGGCTGCATTATCTTTGAATGCGCCTCGTATTCGATATCCATATAAAATTGTAGCAGCGTTTACATGTGTTTTCGACCAATACAGTGATTTATGGTGGCCAAAAATTGCGCTACACAGTGTTTCGCGGTCTCTTTTTTGCATCATATCAAGGCAGTTTCTTGACAGAACCGCTCTCGACTGTACTTTGTTGCTTTACGTGCTTTTTTAATGACTATGGAGCAACCCGGCTCAATCGAAGACATGGAAACGCTATGAAGATTATTACCCCTAAAAAGTACTCACACCTATTTCAATGGGAAGTAAGCTTCCGTGGAACCAGAAAAGGGGTGGAAAATAGATGCATGACTCATTCATTAGTTCAGTCATTCGATGAAGTTCATACCCACCATTTCAGATTTCTGTCATCTCGCAACACTAAATTCCCTCAGATAATTGAAATTGCTGTCTGCCCGAACAAGACGGTTGGGAATCAATGCCTAATCCTAAGCCCATCTTTAATAGCCATTAGGCAATCCGTACTGAAGTAATTAGAAACGCTTAGTTATGCCTACAAATGCAATCGATTGCGGCTGATGACAGAACGCTGATGAATAATTAGGAGGGTAAGGCCATAAGAAACTACACTGGGAAAATAGCCTAGCTAACATTAGGGACGGCCTGGGTGAAGGCATAGGTAAAGGAAGCTTTTGCAAATTCTGAACTGCCATCAGTCACGCATCGCTATCGTTTATTACATGATCTTCGGGGTTTAAACGAAACCTGATCCCTTGAGGTAGGGCGATCCTAGTTTTGGGATACGCCATTTGTTTGAATTCGAGTGAGAGTGGAGCTGTTGTAAAGCGTATGTAACCGTTCATGCGGTGAGTTGGGGTTTGAGTCATACAGATGATTCCAATTTCCTCGTTTAGGCCCTGAAGAAAAAGTTCATATCAGTAGAAAAATGTGGTTAACCCATAATCATCATCATCATCATCATTCCCTTGTAACTCCATCGATCCTTTTCAGGCCCATTCCACAACTGATAGTGACACTCATACTGATGCAGCAGTCAGAACTACTGAACTTCCATTCCTAACAGAAAAACTCGCCGAAGAAGAATTGGCTTCAGAAAGCACTTCAGTGGCCGGACCCGAAGAGACTTCACCTGATCGAAGTGAATCGCCATTCGATGTTTCAACTGCTGGTAAGCTACCAGTCCAATATTCACTTGAGTACAAATATAAATGTCGTCAGAGGGTAGAAAAATCACTTGGGTACAGGTTCCTCGATTCGAAAACCATAATCGATGAGCATGAGTCGATAATATGTCTTTTCAGAAAGCAATCTTTCCCCACAGACAGAATCATCGCCTACTGAAGAGCCAACCGAGTTAACTCCAAGTGTCTCCCGAGTGTTTACCGATACGTCCTCTACCACTACCACCTCTTCGACCACTTCTTCGACCTCTCCCACGACAGCTTTCGATGATGATGGTAAGTCAGTTGAAAAAAGAAGCTTATGCTGCGAACTCCGTAGCGGTGGGGGCAGTCCGTAGCCCTTGAGGGCTAAGGAGCCATTTCCAAAAAGAGTGCAGAAGTTATATAGTACTCCTTCTTCACGCTTCACTGCACCTTGCACGGGTATGGGATATTCCTTGGGAATACTCAGAGAGAGAGGGAGTTGGATTAAAGGGTCTATCCCTTTACATCGCTCTTTACAGTAAATTAATGTTCAGTGTTTAGCTCTGCCATTTGACCAAGACAAGCTATCTGGACTGTTCGAACAAGACGGATCGTTCATACCGGATCATCTCATTAATCAGGTATAATACATTTCATTCTCTGGACCTTCTCGACGGGGAAAACAAATTGCAGTAGATATTGAGGCAGCGAATCGTAATTGAGTTGAAATCCACACTGGAAAAACACGAAACACTCAAAGAGGAATATGCTAGAGGTCCGATTGTAAGGTGATCCTTACCCAGTACTCGTGTGGGGGCTGGGTAGCGTTTAAAAGCACACTCTATCTGTTTATGGAAATTTTCCTCATTATTCCGAATGGGTTCCTTCATGGTTTCTCCCAAGTTTCTCCATGCTGCAGGAACCTATCAACGGCGGCTAGGTCCACAGTGAAATCCTTAGTCAAGGGAATGATTCATTACAAGGAAGCGAGCGTCGTTGCCAATAGCAAATCATTTAAAAAATTTGGCCAACTTAGCATATACATACAGTAGCGCTTAAAAGTCTTCGGCCAAACGCTCTTACGCTTTTTTGTTTGTAACTTTTTTCCTAGTGGAGCGAATCGAAATTTTGATATGTTTAACTAAAGCATATTTCACTATTCACTACTATCCACGCTACTTAACTGCGGAGCAGCAGTATCCACATAATTAAGGGGAAGGGGTTTGTAGAGTATGCTGAAAGCAAGTGCAGTTATTCCGACCTTATGTGCGTTTCTCTCCACTACTGAGTTCGACATTAGCGCTCGTACACTTCGGACATGGCAGAAAGGGAAGAAATCCTAGAAAGACTATAATCCGTATTTTCAGGTGTTCAGGGTTTTTAGGATAAGAAGACCATGATCAGATTGCAGGTTAATGTTAGTAAATATTCACAATACACCCATGCTACACATATTGAAATTTTGCTTGATTAGATCCAGTAGGAAAGGTGTCACGACTAAAAAATACAACTGAAAAAGCATTCGGCCGAAAAACTTTTGAGCGCTACTCTATGCTACATCAGCAACTGCAGAAATTTGTCCCAACTTTACCTTTTCCTACAGACTTCATCTAAAGCCTATAAATCAGAAGATACCTTACTTATTATTAATAGTTCATGGTCCATTCATAATAAATCCATAAGATGGCTAGACAGTAACCTCCTCCTGTCCACTTTTAAATTTCATAATAAGGAGAAAGAATAAAAAATTTTCTAGAGAATATTAAAAACTGCAGCATTTGGATGGCATTGAAGTTCTCCAATATAAGCGAAAACAACTCAAAAAAA